AGGGGTGAAGAGAAACAAGATGCAAGATCTAGCACCTAGCCCACCAATTAAGAAGCGAGAGTAGCAGTTGGATTGGAACACCCGACCACCGGCGAAGCTAGAAAGTTTCTAGCAGCAGACGGAGTTGGGTTGCTGTAGAGATTCAATGATTTCAATCTGAAATTACAAGCCACGAATCGATCTCCAAGTTCAAGATCTAGGGCGCCGATTCACAAAACAGGAAGGAGGAGTAGCAGCAGCTGCATGCCCTGCACCACCGGTGAAGAGGGTCGGATCGGAGGGCAAGGCTTTGTTCGCAAAGTATGCTCGATTTGAAATTGCAGATTTGGAGGGATTAAAAGCCCTTGACCAAAATGACGTCGTTTTGGGCTAGGAAATCTTTTTTTTTTTTTTGGGGCATGAAGTGTACCGACCGGTACACAAAATTTCGGCTGGTACACCAGATTTTGACCGGAACGACCAAATTTTGACCAAAACGGAATTTGATGTTGTACCGTTTCGGTCAAGTGTCAAAATTGGTACGGTACGGGATTGACTTCTTTGGTTCATTGTCCTTAGTCAACTGGTGCAGATAAGAGATGGTCTCTTTATTGAGCCTTTAAGTATAAGCAGAATACTCCAACAAAGTCTTGTGTGAAGAAGCTTGTGTCTTGGATGTGTGAGAATCCATATTTCTTTTCAAAGATCATAAATAGCCCAAACAAAAAGGGCAAAGAACTAAACACAAAATGACCAAATAAAGATAATGAGTGATCATGTATAATCAAATGAATATGCATATGTGATATGAGACTTGAAAAATGAAAATTTCTATCCTGATCATGGATTTAACTTCATTGGACACACTTTTGACCAAGAAGAAAGATTGTATTTATTCAAGCAAGTTTTCTTTGACAAATCTAGATTTTTGATGTTCGTACAAAAGCTCCCAAGTAACAAAATTTCCTCCAAGTTGATCAAGTTGTATTTGAGGAGCAAAGGTATAAGAATCCACTGTAGGACTACATCGCAGGAAGTGATGATACTCATCAATGGTGGGCACCAACTCAAAATGTGGAAACACCAAAAGCTTGACATTTTGGCACATAGAATTTCAACATGGCTCTGAACAAATCCCAATCTGGCGCCACTGACAATAGATCCCCAATGCACCCAAATCGGACCTCAAAGTCATGCTTTTCCCTAGAGGACAACAAGCCATAAGCCTCTTTCAACAACTTCAAGTCGAGTTTGGAGGTATTGATTGAAAAGATTGACTCTTTAGCTCTCTTAGCAGTAGAATGAAATGTGACATCTTCAACAAGTCTCTTCCCTTGTCTAGTTGTATCCTTAGTAAAATCCATGTCTAATGCATGATCTTACCTAAACAAAAGGCTTAAAGAAGTTAAACATAAATCATACCCTCACATGCCATACCTCATTAAGTGTACAAAAATAAGCTGCCATATGTGCAAACGAAGGTTAGTGAAGTAAAATGCCCTTTTTGTGTCCTAAACATGGGACGTCTACCCTCACAGGTGGGATGCTAAAGGAAACATGTCCTAGGGTTGGCACCTTTCTAAGGTCAATACATGTTTTCATAAAGGGCATTAGGCCTTCTCAACCATTTATCCTTTCGGAATCAATGAGAGATATTTCCAAAAGCTAATGCATAGGATGATATTACATCATCAAGTGTTGTATTAACCAATGAAAACAACCTAACAAGAATCGATCTTACTCCTCAAAACGGGAAGAATTGCTCTTCCAAGCTAGATTTGTAAGGATTCTAGACTAGAGGTCGAGTTCACCTCTGACACGGACCTGATGTAGAATGAGAGTGGGTGTGTGCAAAGGGCATAACACTTCAATAACCTATATAATGGCAACCACAAAAATAATAACATATATCTCACGAAAATCAAATAAAGCATGTAAAGCACTCAACAAATATAGCACCCACAAACAAACCTACTTACATAGCAGGAAAAGACTCACCTAGTACTCCCATGCCAAATGCAAAAGGTTAGTAACACAAAGCAACCACCACTTAGCATGCAACAAGATATAAATAATCGCACAAGAGGGAAGAGACTCACTAAGCACTCTATAGCTAAGTGTAAAAGGTGAGTATATCCACACACAAGCAAGTAGGCATGTAAGCATGATACATGATGAATAAGCATATAATATCAATGATGCATGAACATGTGAGAAAGGTATGATGCATGTCAAGATATAGCAAGATAACTACTTGAAAGCAAAACAATTGAAGCAACCACCAAAACAATAAGTGAACAAGCAATAATCACTACACAACAAGCACATGCAACAAATGACAAAGACTAACAAAGACTTAACAAACAAAGAAAATAAAAAGTTGAAAGATTCTCCCAAAGTTAAAGTATTAGCTCGACCCTCGTGAACCCAAAATATGGAAACCAGAGATTTTGGGTTCGATTCCCCAATGGAGTCACCAATCTATTGACAACCACTTAAAGGATTAAGTGTGAAAAATGTAAAAAGAAGGACTCACCACTTGTCCAAATTTTAAGGTGGGACAAGTCACCAAAAAAATAGTTCTACATAAGGATCTGGGTCCCTCACAATCCTCCGTTTAAACATGGTTGCATACTTTAAAATTGTGGGTTTTAATTCAACTTATTCATTATCTTTATATTTAAGTCTTAATAAGCAAGCTTAAAAAAGAGATAAACCAAATTGCAACATTTTTATTTTTTATTTTTTGGACTAAAATAGACGAATCAAAGACATGCATGCATCATAAACACAAATGAAAATTAAAGGGACTAATTTGATTAAATTCAAAAAAATATGAAGGACTGATTTAAAAAGATTTGAAACCTCGGGATTGAATTGCTTAATCATAAAACTTTTGGGTGAAATTGAAATAAAATAAAAAATAACTTTGACTTGGATCCAAATTAAGGAAAATAAAAATTTTGAAATTAATTAATTAAGATAATTAATCTAATTGAATAATTAACTTAACATTAATTAAAATTAATTAATCACATTTAATAATCATTAATCAAGATAACTAAATAAATCTAATTATCTCAAATTAAACTCAATAAATATGATTAATTTATTTTAATTAAAATTAATTTACTTAATTAATCATAAATTAAACTAACTTAATTAATTAATAAATTTATAGATATATGTTTTAACCTTTTTTTTT